CATGTTCCTCCTTGTTAATTTGTGTCATCCTCAGTAGAGTTAAAATACAAACATAGAAATTTGATTGATAATGTCTGGCAGAGCCAGACGTCTTTATTGTCTAAGAATAGATTATGATATAATCAAAAGATTAATCAGAAACTTCAAATACGCTTTCATATAGAAAACAATTGTAGCAAACGTTATAATAATAGATGACACAAAGTTGAACAACAAAAAACCACCAAACTGTCCAACCAAAGGAGGAACGACAGACCGTGAAAAGCAACGAAAACGAAAGAGCGACAATTTAAATTCTGACTTTAAGATTACAATTACAATTTACAAACAAAAATATACGATAATTTGAACGCGTGCATGTGCAATTCGCTCATAGGCCAATAAACAACATTTTCGTCTATCTTTTTTTGTCAGGTATATTGTAATATTTTATTTCAAAATGCATTCTATATTTTTTTATATTACATGCAGCCTATTTATAGCTTTGTACACGTTAAATAAAAATTTGATATAATTTAATGTTAACATGTAAAGTTATATTAAAAAATGAAATAAATAAAATAAGAAAATAGATAAAGCAATAAAGCTTAAGTTAGTGTCACTATCAACAGATCTCATCTCATCTCATCAATGTATTAAAATTTTATCACAAACTGTTCATAAGTAAAAATAAAGTTCAAAATATATTTATGACCAATGTGTTAGTAATACATAGTTAATGATGACTCTTGTGTGTTAAACTACAAAAACACTTTGATTTGTTAAATTGAAAGATTAAATTCAATATACGAGTTAAAGCTATATATAGTTAACATATACTTCAATATGTTGAACTAGTGTCCAAACTGGAATTTAATTTATCAAGACATTTTATAAGTTAAATGAATGCATAGTTTGTAAAGAAAATACAAACTTTAAGTATTTTTTAATTCAATTTATAAGTTAAAATTACCATTTAAGCACTTCATAGTTAACATACACCCCAATATGTTAAACTAGTATCTAAAACAGGGATTGTTTTATAAAAACATATTTATAAGGTACATGATGCAAAAAAAGCGTATATTTACTTTCATTGATATATTTAACAACTATATGTGTTAGGATTAACAAATATATATTTCATTTGTATTTGTAGGTGTTTGGAGCTCAACTCCTAAGTGTCGGTGACTTTAACGTTAAAAAAAAGACATAAATGATATCGGGCCCACCGCACTGCGTTGCAATCGAATCCACCGCCGTCTGCGTTGTAATCAATTTTTGTCAATTCTTTTATTAAAATAGTAATATCAATTTCCAAAAGTTCCAAAATATGGTTGTTTTGTGTAATTATCATACATACGATGCGATGCCAGTATATCTAGGGGTAGTTTTGAGTACATATGTAGTGTTATAAACAAAATGAGGCAAAAGTGGCGTCTCCTCGTCAAACTGTACAGAAGTGTTTGCATAACTGGTCATGATTTGCACCCCATGCGTGTAATAAGTTGGAAGAGTACATATGTGGGCTCCAGTCTCACTAGGTGTTATCAGTAGAACATAAAAACATAACGTACAAATAAGTCATAAACTTACCGACACCAGCAAAAAACTATCCGACAGCCATGTTTTTCCACCGCTTCTGCGACGAAATCTCCATCGCCGCACCGGTAGACCCACCGCTTCTGCGAAAGCTATGGCCAGTGTGAAAATGTATATCGTGCAAATATAAATGAACAAAGTACATGTACGAATACATATACACCGTTTAGTTTGAAATTTAAAGTCACTGATTCAAATCATATTGAGAGTAAGGTTTTGCAACAGAATAATGTTGATATAAAAACACCACAAAATTTAGGCCAAGAAAAGGAAAACATTGTTTCTGATATAGGTGAAAAAAATAAAACATCATGTTATTATGTAAAAACTGCTATAGGGCAGGTTAAGGGAGGAATGCTCATAGATTCTGGAAGTCCAGTTTCAATTATTTCCACCAAGTGTTATGATAGACTAGAAAATAAGCCTAAGTTAGAACTTGTTAAAGTGCCTCTATCTACTGCAAATGGGGTCAGGCTAAAAATTGCTGGAAAATGTACACTTAATTTTGAAATTGAACATCTTGCATTTTATTTTGAGTTTATAGTTGCTGATATTGAGGAAACAATAGGCATTTTAGGCATTGATTTCTTTGAAAATTATAATGTCAGCCTGAAAGTACACAAACGCTTGCTAAAAACTAGTGTGGGAAAAGTGAGATTGTATAACTTTAACTCAAGAATGTGTGCAAAGGTACAAATAACAGATATTCCTCATAAAAACAAACCATTATTACACAACTACGATCATGACAATTTGAATAAGTTCAGTGCAACACGCAAGTACTGGTTTATAGATAAAATAGATAATGGTAAAATGATACTTCAATATGCATTTGACAATAATCAAAGTAAATCTGTTGAAACATTAGACACAAACTCTGTGTCAATATTTCAAACATATTTATACTTTGAGAGAAACAAGCAGTTACTTATTCAAAGCAAAATAATTATGCTAGAACTGATGTCATGGATTAAAAGAGTGAAATTCTACTTAAAAATGACCATGTCTAACCAAGACTTAGACTTATGTATGAAATGGAATGTACAGAAAAATACCAAGTTTAAATCAACACGACTTTAGAGGAAGATAAATTGATATGAATCATTTATCCTAAAAATGTAAATGTAATACAAAGTATACATTAATTAAATATTGTGATGATAATACATAGTTTGATTTAAAATAGCAATATTCATGTTGACATATGGAATTGAATATATGTTCCACATCGTATGTCTAAAAGATAAAGAGTTTAGACTTATCATTTATTATGTTTATATGAATATTAATTCTTGTTTAATTTTTCAGACTTCATATACATGTACATACTCAAGCCAGTTGTAACACACAAAACACCGCTTGTAATGGTGAAACACCATGGACTTCACATTGTTCATATTCCACTTATGTATGTGCTCAATTCAGAGTGTATTCTAACAACAGGACTTTACAGTTTCATCGAGAACATTGAAAGTGTTGTGTTGCTTGGGTGATGTTTAATTCTTATTGTAAATAAACTGAATATGTTTTCCATGTTTGATATTTACATTGATAGTTTAAATCGTGTTTTGCCAGTTCACTAATTTGATGTACATGTACATACTTTTCTTATTTTGATTCATATACATGTACTTTTCGAAAGTAATTTTTGTTTTCAAATTTTGATCTTAAATAAAAGGGTAATTCTTTCCTTCCTTTGTTTTTGACATTATATTTATTAAATTTTAATCTCTAATTACATGGGGTTTCTTTGTTTTTAAGGAGGGAGGAATGTAATAGGATGGGTATTTACGGTAATCTAAGTTAACAGTTAATCTATAAGTTATGAGTTACTATCTTTCATACTTATTGCATGGTATATACAATGTTATTCTCAACCAATCAAATTGTTGTTTTGAATATTGAATTGTATAAATAAGCTGACTTTGGTAATGTTAGCTAGGTTAGGTACTGTACCTACTCTGGTCAGTACAACAAGGCTTAGCCTTGAAACATTAAACTGGACTTAGTCCTTAACAAACATTTATGTTTATTATAAACGACCATATATAAAAAATATCATAAACATAATCTTAATTAAATAATAAATATAGTTATTCTTAATATAAAACTAAATATAATTTGATTAGTATTCTCTTTCAGTTTGTTAGGGCTTTTCATATATTAAAAGCATTGATTGAAATTGAATTTACTAGTTGTTGTTGTTTAGTCCATCATCTTTATATAGTGACACTTATATATAAATCTACTGAGCCCTGAGAATTTACTCCACTTATAATTTGTGATCGTTTGGTCTCCGTGTAAAGCATTGATTCTCATTAGAACCTGACCACTATTACAATTGTATTAAAGGTAATAACAGTTTCTAAAAGTAATAAATGACTGTATAACACATGCCCCTTAGCACTGGCTAAAAAGTGATCAAATAAATATAACAACACTAAAAATCACCTTTGCATCAAACCTTAACATCATCATTGATCCGCAGTATTTGGCGGTCAAAGTAAGAAAATGATCGATTTGGGGGGGGGGGCTCTTTTTAGGGTCGAAATGTCATGAGGACAAAAACTTGCAAGACCGGCAACCGGAGACTGTCGATTAGTTGCATCGTGCCTGTAGGGGCAGATAATCCAAGACAATATGTAAGTAATAATAAACAGATACTATGGTTATGAATGATTTATAGTGTCAGAGTTTTTGGAACTTTATGTATAAAGGCGATACTTTCCCAGATTTCATTCATTTTATGTTGTTTTCCGGAAATAATAACGATTCGCGACGCTGACGATTCGCCCTAGGAAGTTTCGCCCCCGTGACGATTCGCAACAGAACTAAATCAGTGACACATCTGTTTTGGGAAAAGGCACCGGGCACAGATTTGTAAAAAAATATTGGACATATTGGGAATTTCAAAAAATTCCAAACTTCCTTTATCAGGCCTGTTTCTAAAATCTACAAACAATCACTTCTGTTTATGACTAGCAGGCATGATCATGAACGACCGAAAAATATAACAACACATAGTCTTTACATGTGTTATTATTGGAAGAATTTCATTGATCTTTGAACAAATAGAGAAAATAACAATCCCTAAAGAAAGCCCAACACGGCATAATTGAAAAGGTTGCAGGCTCGGCCTGATTGAGCCTGTTCATGGACGGTACTGTTACATGTAAGTGCAAACTACCGTCCACGCCCCCTAGCACCGGCTTAAGGAGAATTCAACATTTACTATGAACTGGCACAATTTTGAATTTTGAAACATCGACATGCATTAAGATAAGAATTATTAGTTTACCAAAATAGAAAGTTGTGACATGTTTATAAATTTTAAAGTTTTATTTTTTTTTCAGATTAAAACATTTCAAATATGTTTGTTAGGATAAGAATTATTAGTTTACCAAAATAGAAAGTTGTGACATGTTTATAAATTTTAGAGTTTTATTTTTTTTTCAGATTAAAACATTTCAAATATGTTTGTTAGATTAACACATCAGGTGCTGAAGGGGATAAGCTACAGTCAAAGTATAGGTAATTGTTTTGTGTCGTAATTTCTTAGGGCATGTACATGTATTCAAAAAGTGTTAAATAGTACTGTAATACATTGAGTATTGTTGTACCGCTTATCTTTAATTTAATAATAAAAATTTGTTATCTTTGACAATGTGAACTATATTAGACTTTATCAAGATATCGACATTAACAATTTCAATGTGTTAAAAGTTTTGGAAAAATTGTTGATTTAACAGCCTATTTTTTTGAAAATATAGTGAATATACATACTATACTCATATATTGAGGGTTGATTGCAAAACTATTGTAAGTCCTTCTTCATTTCATGTAAGTTACTGCAGTTTTGCTGTCAACCCTTGATATTCATGGTCTTCTTCCACAGTACTGCGTACTGAACTTGCTATTTTCAGGAATTTTGTATATTGCACTGCCTTGTGGGACTTTACAAAACTTACAGTACATCACCTTTGTGCACTAATGGGTTAAGTCCTTCTAAATTTAATAGGAGTTAACTAATTATTACACTAAAGTGACAATTAATGTTATCCACTGGTCAGTAATGGCCTCCCTGTTTAAGAACTGACTTCCTACTATTCTGTTTACTAGATACATGTTCATGTAGTGAATGATATAAGCCTTGCTTGGATTTTATGATAATTTTTATACTTAGCTATTTACCTTTCAGAAAATGTGGGTTTAATTCCTATACTGTATTGTAATCTATCTTTGGTTAATTTATTTCAGTGACTAGAAGATTTTTATGCAGTTCAGACAAAGACCTGTCTCTCAAAAATACAAAACATGCAGATAAAAAATTACAATACGAAATAGAAGCGGAGGAGGTTATGTCTAATCTAAGTGAAGAAGGTAGGCAAAAGAAAAAAAGACTGGAAGTACAACTAGAAATTATGCGGCAGAGGAATGAAAAGGTAAATATTTTTTACTGTGTTGAAGTACATGCGTATTGTTTGAATTAGTAATGTGTGAAAATTTATGTTGATGATGTTGTTGTATTAAATTTGATCTTAATGGCACACAGGGGCCGAGTGGTTAAGGTCGTTGACTTCAAACCACTTGCCCCTCACCGCTGTGGGTTCGAGTCCCTACAGGGACTTTGGATTCTTTCATGTGAGAAAGCTATCCAGCTAGCTCACGGAACGTCGGTGGTTCTACTCAGGTGCCCGTTAGTTCCTGAAATAATGCACGGAAGGGCACCTGAGATCTTCCTCCACTAGTAAAGCTGGCACGTCACCATATGACCTATACTGTGTCGGTGTGACGTAAAACCCAATCAAACAAAGTAACAAAATAATGGCACACAGGGAACTGAATGCTGTGATTGAGGGGTTAAAGTCGCTGACTTTTGAAACACTTTACCCTTATTAATGTGTGTTCCATTTCTGCAGGAGTTTAGGAATCTTTTCATAGGATGAAGACATAAAGCTATCCAACTTTTTCGATGATTTAACAACCCTTTTCTATATTTAGTTCATTTATAACTTACCTCATAAAATTGTATTATTGTTCAAGAAGGATTTTTATGCTTCCTAAATGGAGAGCACATAATCACCACCTTGTCTGTCCATCTGTCTGTGCATATATACTTGGGTGGCTACAGGAACAATATGTAAATGTACTTTTTCTTTAATGACATTCATTCTGTAAAGTTTTATGTGTCTATGTTTTCTCTTATGTGGCTATTATTTGAAATTAAACAATTTTAATGGATGGTATAAATGTACCCACCTGGTTGGAAAGCACAGATGTTATTGCAAATGGGATGCATACAACTGTGTTGTAGGTACAGAATTTATACTCTGAAGAAAAATAATTGCTAAAAATCAACCCATGTGCCCAGACCAAGATCCTTCAGCATGTTCAGGCCCATTGACAGTGATTTTTTTTTCAATTTTTAGCTCGACTTTTCTATGAAAAGGGGAGCTATTCTACTCGCCCCGGCGTCGGCGTTAGCGTCGGCGTTGGCGTCACACCTTGGTTAAGTTTTTCGTACCACCCCACTTTATTTCAGAAGTATTACAAGTATGGCTTTGAAACTTACCATACTTGTTCACCATCATAACCTCCATCTACAGACAAGAGTACATAACTCTGTCAAGGTTTTTGACAGAATTATGGCCCTTTTTTGACTTAGAAAGTGTATTGAGCTTGGTTAAGTTTTTTGTACCACCCCACTTTATTTCAGAAGTATTACAAGTATGGCTTTGAAACTTACCATACTTGTTCACCATCATAACCTCCATCTACAGACAAGAGTACATAACTCTGTCAAGGTTTTTGACAGAATTATGGCCCTTTTTTGACTTAGAAAGTGTATTGAGCTTGGTTAAGTTTTTTGTACCACCTCACTTTATTTCAAAACCATTGGAGGTATTGCTTTGAAACTGACCATACTTGTTTACCATCACGACCTTCATCAACAGACAAGAGGACATAACTCTGTCAAGGTTTTTGACAGAATTATGCCCCTTTTTGACTTAGAAAATACATTGAATATGGGTAAAATCCACTTATTGCCTTTAACCCTTTGAGATATTGCTTTGAAACTTTTAATGCTATTTCACATCATTACCCCCATCTGTACGCAAGAGAAGTAACTCTGTCAAGGATTTGTTTTAAAAATTAAGGCCTTTTATCGACTTAGAATCTTGGTTAAGTTTTTAGTACCAGTCACTTTTTGACTGAACTGTTTGAGATATTAATTTGAAAGTTGGAATACTTGTTTACAATCATGATTCCCAAACATGTCCAGGAGAAGGTAATTCTGTCAAAGATTTTATTTGAATTATGGCCCTTAACTGTCAATGTTTTGTATTATAGGCAAGCACTAAAAAACTTTGCTGCAGTGTTCAAGGGTATCACACAATTCAGTAAAATAATTCTTCACTAAATATCTTAATGCTCATGGCCATTGTTCACTTTAAAAATACAGAGATTCTTGTATTGCCTTTTACTGCAAAAACTTTTTTTATTGGCAAGCAATAAAAAAGTCGAGCGCGCTGTCTTACGGACAGCTCTTGTTAAAATAACCTGTGGCTTTCTGAAGGCGATAATAAAGCGCAATAAATCAGAAAAGGGGAAAATCAAATTGTCAGAGATATCGACATGAAACTTTGTAGGTAGATATATCTCAATGGGTAGATGTGCAGTGCACAAGAATCATAACTCTGCCTTGCCTAATTTTGGAGTTATTGCCCTGCCCTTTGTTTATTTTACTTTTTGAACTTTGTCTGGAACATTACTCTAAAATTATAAGAGATATCAACATGAAACTTTGTTGGTAGATAGATCTCATTGTACAAAAAAAAAATCACTGGTTGCATTTTCTTTGTCCGGGGCATAACTTGAAGACTAATGGTTGGAATTCAATATAACTTCATACAAAAGTCAAGCACATTGAAAGAAAGTGCAGTGCACAAGAACCATAACTCCATCTTCACTAAATACAGAGTGATTGCCCTTTGGTACTTTTCCTTGGGGGTCTGGAGATAACTTGAAAACTACTGGTTGGAATTCAAAGCAACTTCATACAATGTCAAGCACAATAGAGAAGTGATTGCATGCACAAGAAGCATTAACTCTATCTAAGTAATTACAGATTCTGCACTGTGTTACTTTTTCCATTGTTTTTTTTGTCTGAGCATAACTTGAATGACTAATTGTTGAATTCTAATATTACTTCATATAATGATCAAACATTGAGAGGAAGTGCTGTGCACAAGAACCTTAACTCCATCTTTGACTAATTACATAGTGTTGCCCTTTGTTACTTTCCTTGTCCGGAGCATAACTTTTGAAAACTACTAGATGGAATTCAATACAACTTCATACAATTGTCAAAGCACATTTAGAGGAAGCAGTGACAGAGCCATAACTCTGTCCAGAGTAAATTATAGAGTTATTGTCCTTTGTTACTTCCATTGCTTTTTTTTTCCAGAGCATAACTTGAAAAAACTACATGTTGGAAAATTCAATACAATTTCATACAATGTCAAGGTATATTAATAGGAAGGCCAGTGCACAGAAACCATAACTTTTACTTGAATTCATTGAAGGAGTCTTTGCCCTTTGTGACTTTTTATTGACCAGTGCATAACTTGAAAATTTAATGTTGAATTCAAAAGAAACTTCATACAATGTCAAGGGCAGTGAGAGAAGTGCAGTGCACAAGAACCATAACTCGATCTTCAGTATTTGTAGAGTTATTGCCCCTTTTGTTCCTTTTCCTTGTCAGGTGCATAACTTAAAAAACTAATGTTTAGAATTTCAAATGAAACTTCATTCAATGTCAAGCGCAAATGAGAGGAAGTGCATTTCTCAAGAAGCGTAACTCTTTTTGACTTATTACGAGTAATTCAATGTCAAACCACATTGAAAGGAAATGCAACATATCAGAAGCACAACTGTCTTTAATTGCCCACAACCATAAATCTATTTCAGTTCTTTTGCAAGCTATTCTGTTACTAGTAGATGAAATTTTCTGAAAGTAAATTATAAAAAAGCTATTTTAGTGTACAAGTCCCTTAACAATCTTCTCCCTGATTATATGCAAAATCTTTTTACTTACGCAGAAAATGCACAATTAAGATCATATCAACAAAAACAACTTCAAAATCCCCAAAACCTAGACTTGAGTTCTGCAGAAAATCTTTATCATATTCAGGGTCAAAAAAACTTTGGAATTCTCTTCCTTAGATATTGGAATCCACAAATTGACAGACGTTCAAAAATAATTATCTGAAATGGTTGTCTCTGGTGGAATAAAACACATCAAATTGTTATTATAAAAAAAAAATGTATATCTGAATTGCAATGCTTGTAAAAATTCTTATATAATGACTTTTTTCCCAGATTTTCATTTTACATATTTTTAACTACTTGTATTTGTAATTTTTGTTGTTTATCATTACCTTTATGTTTGAAAATGTTTTATATTATGTACAATTTATATTGATAGAGCTTCATAGGAAGACTGGCATGCCCAACTATGTTGCCTCTTTAAGTAAAGTCTTATTATAATGTCTCCCCACCTCGGGGGGAGACATATTTTTTTCCCTGTCCGTCCGTAATCCGTCCGTTCTCCTCAGTCCGTCAGTCCATCCGTTCCATTTCGTTTCCGGCGATAACTAGAGTTCCTTTTACAACTCTCAACTTCATAGGATGAATGTGTCTTATTTATGAGCAAGATCCCCTATGTTTTTGGGGTCAGTGTTGAAAGTCAAAGGTCCAGTGACCGTTGGTCAATTTTGTTTCCGGATGATAACTAATTTCTTTTTACTACAGCCCTCCAAATTCATAGGATATTGGTCTTATAGAGCTGAT